TACTTTCAAACATTTACTAGAAATAATTATGTTATTAGAAGTTATTTTAAATTATATCTATTATATAAATGTAATGGCGTGCATTGTGGGGGAGATTAATCCTATCCGTGTGACGACCGAAAGGCTCTCTCGTTTAGCCGACTTCCGACTCGTTTCCAAGTTGCTAACATCATCGCGAATCCGCGTAGAGATTCGCGGATAAAGCGTGCTAAATGTCCGCGACGAGAATGGGGAGGAAAGTCACGAGAAGCTGGAGGGGCATGGTCGCGATCGCGACTATTATCTCGTACTCCTATATGGCGAGGAGGCCTCGTTGCATCAGTGTTATACCAGCTGCACATTAGTTTGTCACGCACTCGTTATGGTGTCGCAATTCGGTACATTCGTGACGTGAGAAAAGACGTTACATTTTATCCGCGGATCGGAAATACAAGACGTCAGGTGCTTGAAAGATAATCCCGGACAATCGGAGAGAAAACCCTTGTGCACGATACAGAATTTATGGTAGATTTATATATATGAAAAAATGTATAATCTTCATAGGCTGTCAAGGATCATTTTGGACCCATCATAAAATTTACTAACTTCTAATTAAAATCTAAATTATTTTTTATTCTCAATATTTATTGACTTTATTTTACAATACGTGATTTTGTTTATTTTCCAAAATTTGGATTTTTTAAATGTCCTTGCGATAAATTGTATAATAGAGAGGTAAGGGTCACAGTTTGGATTCTAGTGGAAAGTCAATTCCAACAGCTTATGAAGATTAAATTAGAGAGGGAAGGGTATTAGTAATGTGTATTTTGAGTAAATACGAAAGAGCCACATATGCGCATTCCGATGAGAATAGCTGAATGTGAACGATATTTTTGCATAGTTTTGAATTTCTGCTCGACGTCTATTCGCGGTTGTTAACGTTACTTGGCGACATGGGGCGACACGACCGAAAGAAAAAACTCTGATCCACACCGCACCTTCTTTGCCGTTTAAACATCGTAATCTTAAACATTGTCGATATGTCGAGAATCTAATCACTATTTCACGTGGATATAATCGAGTCGTACTTGTTACAATGTTACCCGTTCCTATGTTACCCAATGTTGAACCGTTCACCGTAAATGAGAGATTCCTTTAATTAAATGATGACGTACGTGACGTAACGAGTCTTCCTCGCGAGAGATCAATGTCGCGTACTTAATTCGCGGAGCGCGCTAATCTTTAGGGGTCGACGGGATATTCAGGCTGATAACACGGTAACCCTCTGATAACGATAGCAATGTTTGCATACGGCGACTCGATACGCCGTATCTGATCGATATATATATTCTTATTGCTCCGGGAATAAATCGACGGATTTGGATTTCGTCATTATCAATCTAGAGTTTCCAGAAACCACGGGATATTATGCACCAGGGTCTCTCTCTCTCCTCTCTCTCTCTCTCTCTCTCTCTCTCTCTCTCTCTCTCTCTCCCCCTCTCTCTCTCTCCGTCCATGTCTCTCGTGGCGTCGCGACGTCTTGTCTTTCTCTCTATATCCACATTTGTCTTTCCTTCGCTGTCCAATTTCCCTCTCTCTTTCTTCATCTATTTATTTACCTGCCCTTTCTTAGTCATCTCTCTCTCTCTTCTCTTTCTCTTTTGCTCTACTCATCTTTCTCGCAGCGATTTTCTGTATCCCTCTCCTCCCTCCGACGTTTCCTTTTCTATGAAAGCGGAGACAGCGGCCAGGACCAAAGAGACCGAAAGAGAGCTCTCTCTGTGACACTGGGCGCGGGTGAGCGCCGGAAATATACCCGCGCGTGGCATCTCGTCTTGCTCTTATTCGCCGGCGTTCACCAAGCCGGCGGCACCGTCACCAAAGAGTCGCGCGTCCGTGTTGCTCGTGCAGTCGCAACAAATTTCCCGTCGCGTTCTCCACCGCGCGTTCGCGTGTCTGCCTCGTTACTCTGAGATTCGCGTTCCGGAGGGAAATTACATCGAGTCGTCTGATTCCATTTCAACAAATAATCCGTCACGGAGATGCCTCGGTGCAAGTTTCGTTCGCGTGGAATCGTATGATCACGATAGCGGACGCGCGTTACACAGTCAGGTGTTCCTCTTTGAAACTCCCCATCCGTGGAAACGATTCTCTTTCCGATCGACTTCTAGTCTCGAACGTCGTTCAATTGCATTGATTAATGGGAAAATACATTTCCTAAGTCTTGAAAGAAAAGCCATAGTTATCGCTCAACCTGATGGTGAAGTGTGAGAGATTTTAAAGTCACCTTCTATCTTACTGAAATCTGCATATAGCAACAGTTATCGAATAAATCGAGGGTTGCTGACGTGCGTTATCACAATCTATTGATTTCCCCGAAGAGAACTCCATGAGGTGGCCCGAGTGAAATTTACGCGGTGTTAAAATTAGCCTTGTGGTCCACTTGAACCTTACTAATACAGTTAAGGACCAAGCTCTTCCGCTGAACTGTCGAGTAAATCATTTCGCTCAACACAGTGCTTCGGGACGCTTCATTTTTTCTTTACGCTCTTACTTTTAAATATTCTAGAGTTCGTTGCCCTCCCCATAGTCGTAAAGACTGATAGGAAAACAAACGTTTATTCTTGCGAAATATCATCTCCGCGATTGATCACTGTAGGAGGAAGAAATACGGAAGAGATACTTGAACCGTATTCATTGTTACCTATTACAGATTTTTTTCATTTTTTTACATCTCTTTTTCTTACCATGTCGCAAGTTTTTTTATTTTATATGCGAGTAAGAATCTCAGTAAAAGATAAAGTGCCTCGTTGTTAACTTGTAACTTGTATGTTTGGGAAAGCTAGTCTTCCTATCGCGCTAACCCGTTAAATTAGCGTCAATTCGCCGTCACGCAACAACGAGTACCGTAATTATCTCCCCGGGGTGACGGGAGGGAGGCTTATGTCACCGTTTACTCGACGATCGCCACGTGAGTGAACACGTGCACGCGTACGCACGCGCATCCAATTCCTCCTACGCGAGTGTGTGCGTGCGCACGTAAGTATAGAGCGAGGATGGCGATGGATCGGACGATGTACGGCAAGGTGGAGCCGGGTGACACTTATCAGCCCTATAGGATCACCATGAAGAAGGGCTCACCACCTGGATGTAAGTTTCTCAAACGGGACGTTCGCCCCGCAAGAATGACAACAACGCGAATGCTCGATCCTTCCCGAGAATGAATTGAAGCTTTAATTGTATAATTCTTATTGTATTGACTCTCAATGCTCAATTAACCCTATTCGCTCCAACCATGCCTTTCGTGTCCCACGAATTTCTAACAGTCGTTTGTTCCGGAAAACAAATGATCGTGGGAGAATCCTCTCCACGCCGGAAAAAAGTTATTGTGGCAGGGAACCTCAGGTAAAAATTTCAAAGTCCTAGCTCATTTACTCTCGAAACAGGGAAAAATCAAAATCTCGGTGGGACACGAAAGTGCATGGTTGGAGGATTATTAGGGCGAAAAAAACGTTGGAGTGAATAGGGTTAATTAGATATAAAAATTTCTATTATTAGTTATAACATCAGCATTTATTGTTAGATTGGAAGATTTACAAAAGAAGGATTTTAGTCGCATCGATTTACATCTCAGATAACAGAATGTCTCAAATCGGGACATAACTGACATAAGTCGCCTTAAGGCTCAGTCACAATGAGAGGAATAAGAAATAAGATAAAGGAATTAGGAATAAAGCATATTGCATCTCACTTTAATGTACGTGTACTGAAGTGAGATGCGACATTCCCTTATTCCTTATTCCTTTATCTTATTCCTTATTCCTCTCATTGTGACTGAGCCCTTAATGACGTCTTTAAGATGTTATATGTCTCGATTTGAGACATGCGTGTTGTCTCTTGTCTGAGATCTTAGGCTTTACGTTTTATATTCGCTATTGTAAATATAATTCGAATTTGTTTCGGTCATTAGCGGTTTAATCAGCCGTTATAACGAGAGATTATTTCGATAAATGACACTCGTGTTTACAATAGAGCGATTATTGAAAGCGATTGATAGTTTTGGAGTCAGTCATCAAGGTTGCTCGTTGCTCCGTCGAAGGCAGACGGAGCTTTGTTATGTTCGGAATTGTTCAAGTTTCTAGCGCTATTTTATTAAAATGAATGAATTGTCCTACGTTATCGATCCTTAAAAGACTACACGCTGCTTAAAAAGCGAACTCGGGATTAAAAAAAAATTACTGTCCTTGAAATACCGTGATTTAATCGACTTTGAGATGTTCTTCAGGGTAAATATTTACCCTTACGAACCCTCCCTCAATGACCTTCTCCTTCACATATATTGTAAAGCGCACTCTCCTGAATAACCTTCAGAAGGTTTTAGCCGTCACTCGTTGTTTATTACAAAGTTATGAATAAAAAAGTTTAGTGACTGATTGTGAGACACGCAGATACGAATAACGACGTAAAGGAACAGAACTAATTTCTAAATGCCTTGCGAGAACATGTCCGAAGGTATTATTATCTACATTTACGGATAGATTACGTTTGCTGCTTATCTCAGACATGATGCAATTAGACATCCATCAGAATATCCGTCGGCGGTTCTCTCGATCGATCGGCGATCCGATTACACCCGCGTACGATTAAATATGCGACGTTCTCGGGATTGCCGCACGACATGGTCGGCGTGTTCTTTGACGATCGATCGTACGATCGCCGTACGAATTCAAGGTGAACGCCGATGCGTAGGTATCTCTTCTTCCTCGATCGTTCCTTGGGGGGATCCGCACCTCCATATGAGGTCAGCTTCGCGTGGTTTCTACCTCCTACGCTCGCTCGCGACGCAAATATGTAGGAAGGCGCGATAAATAAATCGCGCACACTCGGGCCGGTTTAGATACCAATCGATCGATTGACCGAGTAACTGGTGAAAAAAATATTCCGTCAGAGGGAAAAGGGGCCACGTCCGTGTTGTTCGCAATTATTTTGCAATTAATATCCTTTGCGAGAAACGCGGGTTATTATCGATAGTCACCAGAAGAAACGAAAGAAACTTTCGGATTTTTTTCGAGTTGAGGTATTACGCAGTTACCGCATTTTTTGCGAGTATGAAATATTGTCAAACATAAAATAAACGCTTTAGTCAATTCCGATGTTAATCGCAGTGCTCGCATATGCGCCGGGTGTGTTGCAGTGGTTTAGGAGTTGCAGTGCTCAAAATATGATATTTCGTTATCGATCGCCACCCCAATATGTTTGTTCGATCGGAATTTTTCGATAATTTTTTGCTCCTGATTCGCCCATTCGATGCTCTATGTTAACCCTATAGAATTCACAGTTGTCTGAGCATCCTGAAAACATACGCCATGGATCTGGGGGACCTCTCTAACTTCTAAATGTGGTTCAGATTAATATTTTTGGGGTTCTCTCCTTTTTTTTTTTTTTTAGCTCTGAGATTTTGGAATATGCCTGAATAAGTTTTAATACCGAAAAGTGTTATTTTATCATGATGTTATGAACTTAAAACGAAATATCGAAAATAAAAAATTTAGCGAGCAAGCGAAGTTTCGTTTGGGTCTGGCAGATTCATACTCTGTGTGTTCTAGGGTTAAAATCGCATCGGCGGAAGAGTGGCGCGGAAGGGAGGGAGATCTCACGTAACAGAGGTTTCGTATGCGCGGCAGTCGCAACAGCACGTGGTGCCAGTACCTACTGGTCCTGCCAGACATCCGGACCCGATCGATCATCTTGCCGTCTTCGCGAATCATCCTGACGACGTATTTACGCACGTGCCCGTATCGCTCCACGTGTCCAGTTTTAGTAGTACGGGTCGTCGACGTGATCGTCGTTGATAAACAGAGTTTAATAGAGCCGGACGTTCGTCGATTTTCGTCGATTCCGTTCGTCTCCGGCTGTGATCCTTTGACCTCGCATTCTCGTCCATTTAGGACACAAATTAAGGCCCCCGCACAATGAAAAATATAAGGAACAGATATTAGCGATTAGAAATAAGAAATTAGGAATAAAGCTGGTGGACCATTAATAAACGGCTTCCGACAGGTTAAAAATCTATTGCCTGTGTTATTCCATGTTTCTGTTGCCTGTATTTTTCATCGTGCATCCAACTTTATTCTTGATTCTTTAGTCCTAATCGCTAATATCTGCTCCTTGTTCCTTATATTTTTCATTGTGTGAAGGCCTTTATTCTATCAGCGTCGTTGTTCTATATTTCGTTCCGCGGCTGCGTTATTCGCAGCTGTAGTCGAAGTGTGCAACGTACAGCCACGGTTCTTTTTACTTCTTCACGAATCCGATGGATCAATTCTGAAGTCAAAACAATTAAATCTAGACCAATTTTTTTCGAGTTGTTAAGAAGGTCGTCGTTGTGTGTTCGTAGATGGTAATCTTTTAGATCGGATGTCCACACCTTTTTCGAGACGCGCAACATTTCCGATGTGCGTCATGATCGATCGAGAATTAATCCCGCGTCACGCGATCCGCGAAAATGAGATTCGCGACTGCGTTTCTGGAATAGGATTAAAGTATCCAGCTAGAGAACGAGTCTAGCTAGTTCTGCTCTAATTTGAGGTTTATTTTTACCCCGCAGCCAGTATAAGTTAGAGAGCACAACACAGACGCCGTGGTGAATTCAGTTCGCGCGTGTTTTACAGAGAATCCGGACGGGAACGGTTATCGTTGCCGATAACGAACAACGGATATTTTTAACGTAAAAGTTTTTTCGTTTGTTTATATCCCCGAGCCGCCATCTGTCACTTCTGCTGCCCGTTGCGTATTTCTCGTCGCTTCCCCCTCTCGTTGGCAAAATCATATTTTAAAGTCCAATTGGCATCGATAAGAATGCGGGATGACTTAGATATCACTACTACGAGAAGCTATTCTTATAAGAAACTGTTTAATATCTGTGATATTACACTGTTAAATGTTAAAGGATGAAATTTAAATCAATAGGGAGTTTTTGCAATACTGTCTTTCAGATATGGTAACCGTATCTGAATTGTTCAGATACATTCACTATCTGAAAGACGGTATTGCAAAAACTCCCTAAATAAGTTAAATAACATTTTGCTATTTTTGACAACCATGTGTGTCAAAATTTATTATTTTAACACAAAATAGTGTTTATTTTAACTCCATTGTTTTAGTTAAATTAACATTGTTTTAGTTAAATTAACGACATATTGAATAGGAGCAGTGGCGATTTATATAGGAATGTGATTAAAAATGACTCAATTTGAATATAATTTGACACTACGAATTTAACAGTGTATTACAGGAATTGATTCAAGAGTGAAAAAGATTTACATTTTGATTGCAATTTCTATATACATATATATTTTTTTTATAAATTTGTTAACATGTCATATGTATAAGAGAAACAATGAGGCTTAAAAAATAACTTGACCTTCGCTTTTATAAATTTATCTTCGCAGTAATGATCTCTCGGCCAACTTGTAACATCTTGCGTTTTACCGTTGTTCCTCGCGTAGAGAAAGTGCCGAGTGCGTTGTTGAAAACGTGTAAAAATGGCGGATGTGATGAGACCTGTCTCGCCGATTTCACCGATTCGCCTGGCGACGATTCGACGTCACGCGCGGTGGGAGCAATACGTTAGTAAGTACTGAGAAATCGCTTATAATTAAACCCTAATTCTGACAGCGCGTACGGCATACGTCTCTTTATCGGCTAAATGTGCCTTGTCTCACCAATGTAAGACGCATCACCTTCTTCTGATTTATTTTCATTTTTAAATAACAGAAATTTTTTATGACTAATAAAAATTAGACTTATTTTTCACAATATCATAATTATTTTCTAATTACCTTATATTTTCCAGAAAATGACATTTCAGAAGCTAGCAACTTGTATGATCTTTTCTTTACGTTTACATACCTTAATGTATAATTTCAAGTTGGTCTCTTAAAATAAATAAATTTGTCTCTTCTTCGTTCGGTCAATTTAAGTTTCGCATTAATGCCACACATCTGGCCGCGATTAGGCTCGCGAGTAATTCAGATTGATGGGAATTCATGTTGCGGCAATAAGAGGGAAGATAACCGTTAATGATATAGTTAACGTCGCGAGTTCTCTGTCCTCGTCTTCATAGTTTACGCAAGATGCACGCGTGTGTT